AAAATATTGCAATGTCAGTTTTTTCCAATATCGTGCAGCCCTAGTCTAAACATGTGGTACACACCAATAAGATGGTAGAAAAGCATCGTCTTGACTCCTATCTTTGTTACAAGTGTTGTACCAAAGCATGGGGGAATGGTTTAACACCAATGAGATGGTAAAATGAAAGGTTTATAAGCAAGGCCCTAACTGGCATAGCTGACATCAGTAGCATCACAACTTTTTGTAATGATAGGATTGTTTTGTATTGATAGGGAACAACATAAATTGTACTAAAAGTAGCTGAAAACTGAATAGTGAGCTACATTTGCTCACTGGCCTCCTGTCATTTGTGCCCCTAAAGCTCCTCTCCTGACACCACCTACCTCTACTTGAAGAACAGACACCAATGGCAGCCTATAAAGCCACAGCCATCATTTACCCTTTTGCTTTATTAAAGCCATCAAAGCCAGAAGCCATCAAACAAAACTAAGCCATGAATTTATTTTGCCCAGGAGAAGCCTAAAGTCACACAACAGCAATCCGACAGACTGGTGAGGAGGACACCAAGACACATAAAAGCTATCGTTGTAAATTAGGGATATTGAACCAACTATTGATGTCTGAACATGAAGGTTGTGAAATTCTTCAATTTTTATTATGAGAAGTCTGAAACCACTGAACCTTTTTTGTGATTTTGATCAAAACTGTTTCTGCAAATAAATGATCTAAAAGACAATATTTTTATTTTAAATATGGGACGAATGTTTAAAAAATAAAGGTTAAATGTTAAATGTACACAACCACATACCTATAAAAAGTAAACCACATAGATACTTTGCAAAATGTTGCAGTGGTCTTCGATTTATTTCCAGTGCTGTACATCAGGGCAAATTAAGAGATGTACAGTATATTAGTTCATAGATTTAAATGAGCTTCAACGTTCAAACTGGTTAATTAAACCTCCCTAAATGTTAGCTGTTAGCAGAGTTACTTAGCCAAGCAGGACTGTGCTGCCCACCAGCTGCTAAGGGCTAACAGTAACTAATTTACCCCCTGCCGATTTCAACACAGATTTGTTGTTAGATTAAATCCACAGTGTTATTAAGGGGCACCGCAAACCCTAGGAATTAACTTAACCTAGGGAATCAGGTTTCACAGTATAGTCCTCTAGTCAACAATATGAAACCACTAGTCGATATTGTGTCAAAAACGTTGACGACTAAAATGTTCCCCTGGTTTCAGAACAGTTGGGGTTTAGGGTGGTTATCTGCCGATACCGATTTTTCCCGATCCGATCTTTATGCAATGCATTAAGAGAAAAAATAGGAAAAAAGCATTCAAGTTGTCCCTTAAGGTTATTTTTTTATTTAAATGACAGTACCCAACTACCCATTCTATCCAACATGGATAGCTTCTTTTTTTCACAGCAGCATTGGATCAGTTCAGTTGTGCAGCATGTTGTAAATTAAACTGGGAGTCGATCCACTGTGCAGTGAAGCTAAGGAGTGACATTGGACACACAGAAGAACTCCATATGTCTGTGGTAAATCCGAAAGCAGGCACGTCTGTTAACAGGGCTTGCAGGTGGCCACGAAGCTTGTTGTAAAGGGCAGTACTAGTACAGTACAGTTCAAGTAAAGATTATTTCAGTTCATCCAAATGCTGCACCTTAATGTTTATTTTATTATATTTTGTATTTATTTGAGTGAATACATTATTCACAGTTTAATAATAATTTAAAAAAATATATATATATATTTTATGTGTTGTGATCATTTTTTCTGCTGTACCGAAAACGTACCGAACCGTGACCTAAACACCGAGGTATGTACCGAACTGAAATGTTTGTGAACTGTTACACCCCTAATATTTACAAGGATGATAATATATATGTTTTTCTTATGTTTTTATTTGTATTCATTCTTACTTTAACTTGTTCTCTTTATATAAATGTGAATTCTATTTGTATTAATCTTTTATTTATTTCATCTAAAATTGAACAACTGTCACAAAATCCAATTTCCCTTGGGATAAATAAAGTATACTTAACCTGACTATCATAAATATGGTATGAATCATGGATGAAGAAATAATGAATTGCTTTACATCATTTAAGAGTTCTGTATTCCCAAACATTCTGTTGAAGACTAGAATCTACGTAACTTTCCATATGGGACCAGTTTGAATCTTCCTACGAATCCAATTCTCAACCAAACGTTTGGAAATGCTGTGACGTGGTGGAGCTTAACCTCTCCTCTGACAGCAGTCCACTGGGCAGCCAGTGACGCTGACACTCGGCTCCCTGGTGTATTTCTGTCCTGCTGCTTCTTCCCCGGGGTGTGTATGCTGTGACACCCCCTTATACGACAACCCCTCATTCCAGGAAGTGACAGCTTGTGCTTCGGCTTGTTTTTTTCCCCCACATGCATCGTGGTACAGAGAAATACAAATCACCAAAACTAAGAGTCAAAGATTTCCTCCTTAAGGGTTGTTTACACAGTACTATGTGAAGACCAAAGCATACAAGTAACAAATGTTCTATACAAGTCTCTATCAAAGCCAGACAAATAAAAAATAAGTTGAATAACAAACTGTTTCACGACTCAAACACGAACTAAGAGGCCAGGGAATTACAGAAACTCATTACTGTATTAAGAGTCAAACAAAAACTTAAAATAACAAATGTCTAATGATTAGAAACATTGCAGCCTTGGCCTTAAGATGTAACATACCCATTAGCTCGTTGAACCTCACCACTCCCTTCATTTCCAAAGGTTCAATCACAAAGCCTTTCCTATGTAAACTTTAAGGAAACATAAGGGACCAGCTGATGGAGAACAGGTTTAAAAAAACAACATAAATAGACTTTTCTTTAGGCTGGGATAAAGGAAAGCTTTCGTGTTTTTTTTATTGTGTAATAAGAACGAGCAAAAAAAAATACAAATAGTTTATCTAAACAACGGTCCGGGACAACTGCCTGTTCTAATGAGAGGAGGCTTCTCTCCTGACTGGATTTCACATCTCTCAGGTTGTGAAGCCACCTGCTCCTCGCAGTAATCCACTGGAAGATGAGAGGAGGGAGACAATATGAGTTCACACGTTCTACTGTGGAACTCCAGAGGGAAAACGCACTGCATGCAGTACTGTCCCCCAAAGTCAGAGGGCTAATGTGCCTTCACACTGAATAAGATACTTTTCCGCAACTTCATTTCATTTTTGACGTGCTTCATGGATAACGGAAAACAACAGAATAAGTTACCATAGCTTTGCAGATGATACACAAATGTAACCATTTCACCAGGGGGATATGGTCCAATTCAAGCAAGTAAGAGTAAGTTGAAGCATTGAACAAATCAATGATTGAATGTGTCAGAATTTTTTCAATGAAACAAAGATAAAACTGAGGTAATCATTTTTGGAGCCAAGAAGTCAGCACTGAGCTTCAATCGGCAACGTTCAAAACAACAGAAAAGGCCAGAAATCTAAATATAGTCACAGACTCAGATCTAATCTTAAACATGGAGAACTAAACCTTGAGAAGCAGAGTTCAGATCAACTGGGTTTGTAAAAGTGTTTCGCATCTTGTTAATTTGTTTTTGTTAATGTTAAATCGTTTTTTCTTTGGAAATAGTGTTTTGCTAATGTACTGTAATTTTGTTTTATAAAATGTAAATTTGTTTTATAAAATGTAAATTTGTCTCAAGCTTTGTTAAAAGTGTTTCACACTTTGTAATTGTCGATTGCACCTCTCAGCCACCGTGGTTTCATCTCTTTGCTTTTTAATGACTGTTTTTAATGTCATTTTATAATGTGTTTAGGTTGCACTATATATCAATCATGTCTTTCATTAATGTAAAGCACTTTGAATTGCCTTGTGTTGAAAGGTGCTATATTAATAAACTTGCCTCCTTTCTGTCTTGGTGCAGCTTGTTTACTCAGGCAACTAGTTTCCATTGTGGGAGGAAGTCATTAGCAATCCTTCTCCTTTAAACCCTTTGTGGGTGCAGGTCAAATGTACCTTTAACATAATTTGACGCTTCCTTGTTGTCTATAGTAGCCTATATGCAGGGGTGCACATAACTGGTACGCAGGTACGCATGCGCGGCAACAATCTGAAATGCGTACCGTCACTTGTGTCACAAAGCGCATTTGCGTACCGACGTACTTGTGAAGCTTTCCAGAAGGCGGTTAGATCACCGGACGACAGAGTCGGTCTCCGCGTGCACAGACAGGGCTGCTGTTAACGTCGGTCTGTACAGCAGCCCTGCGCTAAAACAGCTGATCACAACGTTCACACGCTCTGCGGTCACGAAGCTCTGTACTCTGTACTTGACAATCGCGAAGCGCTGTACTCCACTACCATTATTATGTTTTTACAATAATTGCATAGTTTTATTTATTTAAAGTCTACAATATTATTATGAAGTCAGTAGTCCATACAATTTCAATCGGAAAAGTTTAATCAAATAACTAAATACACACTGTTACTTTTCTTGTATTTCTCGTCATTTTAATGTGTTTCTGTTGGTTTCTATGTTTTTTTTGTAAAGAACTTTTAATTGCCTTGTGTTGAAATTTGCTATACAAAGAAATTTAACTTTTCTTGCCTTTAGTTTTATTTTTTGAAAAAAACTGCAACCGATTTTTTGTATCTGACTGACAGTCTAGTATTAGAGCTGCAGTCCACTGTATCAACAACCTTTCATTACATTTATGCCAGTCATTTGCAGCAGGTGCATTTCTGTTGATTTTGTAATTTTCGTTTCAAACTAAAATGATTTTGTAATGTCACCTGAACCTTAGCTTGGGGCCTGTCTGCACACGTCACCTGTTGCACCTCCACCATATATAAAGTTACAGGCAGGAATAACCCCACAGCTCTTCATTTCCAGCTCCAAACACGCACAGAAAAGTAGACCATGTTCCAGGCAGTGAGAGCTGAATGTCAGATATCAACCATTAAACATTCCTTATGAGCGCTCAGTCGTCTTAACTCAGAGAGATAAAGTGTAACTTACTGTGGAGACTCCAAGAAACTGCACACCTATCCACAATATGTCGCGAGTGTCCTCACATGTCGACACAAACTGAACGTCTGCCCGGTTCTCCTCAGCGACCTGCTCCTCACATGATAGCCGCGGTGAGCTGTCCGCCCCCCGTGAAGATTAGCGTCAAGTCCCCGCGAAGGACCGGGAGAGCACTTCCGGTTTAGTTTTCAAAAATCATTAATAAATGTTCTTCTTCGTGAGTTTTCTTCACATTTCTTTACATTCACTACCGTTAAGTGGTTTATTGCTGACAACATACAACAAGTAGAGTGTTTTTAAAGAAAAATAGAGTGTTTTAAAAAAAAAAAAAGAGCATTTAAAGAGGTCTACAAACCGATGCATATCACTTTAAACCGATACATTTTGGTTGATCACAAAGTCACATCCTAACATTTTACAAAATTAAGTCAATTTTGAGATTTCCAGTCATTTTTTGAAAGTGAAGTTGTTTCTTGAACGTGAATTGAGGTCCTCTTTTGGAAAATAAAGTCATTGTTTCTAAAAGTTTAAGCCATTTTTCAAAACATTGAAAAAAAAGAAGTTGTAATTCTTTTTAAAGTGCTCTTTAAACCGTAAATACGTTTACGGTTAGTTTATTTATATAGCACATGTTTAGACAGAAAGGCAATTCATAGTGCTTTACATCAACATCAATGTTCACACAATAGTTACAGCTATAAGTAGCTGGTGAACATAACTGGAAACGTCTTGGAATGCTAAAGCATGAAACATGGGATTTCTTCACATACAGTACAATAAATAAATAATAACACGTTCAGCTTTTCAGAAGGAGATTTTAAAGAGGTTTCTAAACTGACTCAAATAAATAACACTATAAATGTAGTTTTGGTTGATTGAAAAGACACACAATAACATTTAATCCTGCAGGGAAGCCAAGTTAAAGGGGACCTATCATGCAAAATGCACTTTTGTACGTCTTTTATACAGTACATGAATATGTGTCCCCGGTGTTCCAGGGAACTCACCAAGTGTCAGAAAACACAACCCTCTCTATTTTCCTCCATACCCAAATCTCTAAAAAAGGGGCTGCAACGGATCTGATACAGACTGATCCAGATTCGAACACTGTCCTGACGTCAGGACAGTGGCGCTACGGCTATTGGGCCAACTCCACCAATCAGGAGGAGACAACCACGGCCATTGCCGTTCGAAAGCGCTGGAGACGCTGTAGTACATATGCCAGGCCTGTAGGTGGTGCTGTTCTAACAGAATCAGCCCTTGCAAAAACAGGGCTAAAAAAGTGTAAATTGAGCGAAATGAGGCATGGCTAAAATGCATGATCTGTTTGGTATTTTGAAAAAAAAAAAAGTATAAATATGCCTTATATAGGTATGGTCCTACACTATATTATTATAATATAGCATGATAGGTCCACTTTAAGTTAATAGCTAATCAGAAATTATCATTCTCTCCTCCATAACTTGATAAGAATGTATACATCATACAACCAGTTCTGATAATATAATATAACAATGGATGTTATGCTCATTGTAAGTGAAAGCTTCAATATAACATTTATTACAAAACAGTCCCACATTAAGCTCAATTGTGGTGCATTTATAGGTTAGTGTGATGATGTCTGATTCAGAAGACCATGTGTTAATAAAGTTCCTCCTCTAAGCCTACTACAACTTTAATAAATAAATACATAATTTTGAAAACTGAAGTCCAGCTTTAAGTTTAGTTTTTTTAAAACCCATTTTATTTTGAAAGGACTTTGGCAGTGTGTCTGTTGCTAGCTTTACACAGCCGTTTCCCGGCACTGCTAAAAAAGAGTTCCAAAATGAACTTACATTTCAACTTTGGCTGGTATTAATATTGATTGCCAATTACATTTGTTCCCAGCCAGTATCAAATTAGGCTTTAACAAATGAATAAAAACTTGTCTGGTTCGTCTGTCACTGGATCAAGATGGTCACAGTGGTTCAATAATTCATGCAACATGACATACACTTTCTAATGCTTCTTAGCACCTGAAAAGGCCCCCCTCCCACCATTCTCCCCCACAAACACTTCTTACCACACCAGCTGCAGAGTGGAGGAACTTTTTATTGCCCCCACACAGCTGTCTTCTAAAATCAGAAGTACTCTACAACATATGCCTTATATTTCACCCATACAAAGGAGAGACTCTACAAGATCCACTGCTTACTTCATACTGTATAGTGTATAGTATATAAGCAATGTATCAGTAGTTGAACATTTTCTGGCCCATTCACAGAGATGTTGAGCTCAAAGGAAGGAAGCTGTTGTTTCTCTCAGATGTTTGTCCTGCTCTGCCCTCTGGTGGTGGAGGAAAGCTATGACATCACAAATGAGTGTCTTTTCCTTCCAAAGAGACATTTTTAAAGTGTCACTAAAGTCTGTTTATCCATAATAACAGGCAGGGATTGTGGAGAACAAAATAAAATATATTGGCTCTATATTATTTATACATTTGGTTTTTGGTCATATTTTTCTAGGATGCCAACACACTCTACCGATATGTCTCTATGACCCTCTTATTTTGACTTGACGTTGGGTTTTCTTAATTAAACCAGTTCATTATAATAATTGTCCCACTGTCTTGTAAATAGGCTACATTGAGTCACTGGAGCTGGTAGCACCAACTGGACGATCTACAACTGCTTATTCGTTTTTGTTAAGACCAGTAAAAATGGACTTCACATTTTGTTGTCACAACCAAACCTAAGTCTGGATTTTTCTGAAAAAATATGTTTTAAATGTTAAGTAGGTTTTCAAGTGTCAACTATTTAAAAAAAAAATAGGGTTATAATGAGTTATTTTTGAAAAGTTAAGGGCATTCTTTGAAAATGTAATGATATTTGGGGTGCTAATATATAATATATAATGATATATCATTTTCAAAAATGTAGAAAAAAGTGGTCATTTAATAAAAACATTTTTAATAAGTGAGGTTTATTACCAGAGTTTTTCAAAAAGTGAGTAAAAAAAAAAAAAAAAAAGTAAATAATTTTGGGAAAAATAAGTAATTTAATTATTCGAAAATTGAGTAATTATTGAACAATGGTGCATATTAGGAAATTAAGTAATATTTTTGAAGATTGATACATTGTTGCATTATTAAGTAATTTTTCCAAAATGTTGAGGGACAAACCTTTGCTGCCAGTATGCCAGAGAAACAGTTGATATGTCCAAGTATTTATTAAAAGGCAGTGAGCCAAAGATAACAGGATGTCCTCCTGCATCCACTCATGTTTTGCACTTAGCAAGCCGGAATGATTTCTGGCTATTATGACCCACAATACTTTGGGGCAGGGGATATTAAAGCCACAGGGTTCAAGTTGCAAAGTCATAACAATGTAGCGTGTCTCAATTGTATGCATACTGCATGACACAGTAGGTTCTTTGTGAGGGCAGCTGCAGATTAAAGAAAACCGGAAAAGTATGAGATCCGGAATGCAGCCATGAATAGGGAAAAGTTAAGCTAACAAATCTACCAGACTTCTTTCTGCAAATTAATACGCCTAAACATGGCATCGTTTGGTCCTGCAGCAATAGTTTCCTAAGAAAACCCTGTACACTTCCTGCTCAGCTGCAAACAGAAAGATAGAGACTAGCTGGAGAACACAGAGGAGAAGCAGCTTAAGAGACGAAGGAGCTGGAGACCAAAATAGAGCTGAACGAGTATTGGACTTACAAGAGGACACAAAAACAGACCTGTAAGGATCATGTTTTTCTTAAACGGCTGGATGTGTAAAAAAAAACACTGTGTACAAGGCCACATTCAAGAAGTTTAAAAAGTGAGTCAAAGTTTATTTCCACAAATAAAAACATAAGAGTATCCAACGTTTTTTTACTCAATTATTTTCTTTTGTTTTTCCATATCAATGCAATAATCTTTCAAAAACACATTCTTTCTTCAAATTCTAAAGAACATATGAGTATTTCTGAAACATCTCTTCACTTCTGCGCAGTAGCTGAAATAAAACTCCAGGAACGGATACAAGTCGAGAAAAAATTGAATTCAGAAAATTCTACACTACCAGTGTGCAGCCTCCTGACGTCAGCTTCTCTTAAACAGTTGGACAAGTGCAAAGGACTGACAACATTAGCAAATAGTGTATCACAGAGACAATACCATGTATCAACCACAATGCATCTGTGAGCTGCAGATAATCCGTTCGGTATTTTGTGCCTTTTTTCTTATTGTGACAGCTGGTGTTATCTCCAGCGTGTAGAAAACACTTCACACCTGTGGGACAAAAACACCACTGCTAATGAATGTATTGATACATATCAAAAGTGCATAGGTGTTACAGAGAAGATAAATCATATTTCAGTTTAGGACTCTTTGGCAGTGGTGGTTTCTGCAGGACACACTGTACGAGGCTGTTCTGTGCTTCTCATGAAAAGAAATCAAAGAAATCAAACATGTGTTAATATTTCCCTCCTTGAACACTTAAACATGCTGCTGGAAATACTAAGGAGAGCATATGCATTTTTAAATAAATCCACAGATCATGCTCCCAAATGTGTTTCCTGTGGCTCGACATTATTGGTCAACGTAACAGCCTAACGGCAATGATTGGATCATGTTGCTCAGCAAAGTTCTTGTTGGTACTCTGGAAGGCAAGAGTAAGAATAACTGATTCAAAGGTTTGGGCTCCACCAGGCAGCAGAGACATGACACTTTGACATGTTTGGCCCTATTTTGTATGCCACGTTAAGTTTACTAAGACTATGTGGTACCATGTTAACGTGTGATAAGTCTACTATTTACTGCATCCTTCAACTAACGGTGCGTTCACACTGGACATGAAGGGAATTGTTCACGTGGTGCGATTACATACAGTCAATGCAAAGACATGTATAGAAGCTAATACGCAACAGATCACGCTAATGCCGCAGCACGGAGGAAGTAATGGCGCGAAATTTGAATAATTGGCTTGACGCAGTCTTGCAAAAATCGATTTTTATAAATGTATGCGTGCAACCATATATATTCTCTATGGCATGACAAATAACGACGCTGCTTTATTTATGTCACATTGCATTATTTTGGGTTCTGTTGGAACAGTTGCAATGGTAGCTTAGCCTAGCCCTAAACAAACCTTAAAGTATTTTAAACCTTTTTTTTCTGGAAGTATGGCAGACAGACCTGAAAAAGCATCGATTCAGGCTTTTTACTTCTCGATATCATTAGGTCATTATTTCGCCATCCTTTTGATACATTTATTGCAATAAAATCACAGGAAATATGTTAATTTTGGGTTCATATGACTGTAGTAAACAAGATTGATTCAGTCGTCTTGTTTGTCTGGATAATTTATGTTCCAAACACCAGACTGTTGGGTTTCCACGTCATATCTGGGACTTTCACAACATGCACAAAGCAGCAAGAGTGGTTATTTTTCTCGGACCAAACGTTGTTGGTATCTCATTGGAGATAAGCCTCGCCTTTTTTCTGGCACATACTGTATAGTTTGAGAGATGCAATAAACACAAATATGATGATACTGCAATCACGTTTTCACTCAAGGCAAATATTAGCTTTTTATATTTTTTGCATTTTTCTACTGTTGAGTTTCAACTTGATTGTCCACAACCTGGTACGGTTAACATCACTGTTCTGTGAATGTTCAGTTCTTCAGCTCTGTGTACATGCAGTTGTGTGAACTATACATTTTATGACATGACAAATCAAACCTGAAACCACAAATAACATTCCACTGAAAGTAGTTCATTTACACCAGATCAGAATTACAGAAACATTATCTACATATTTTAGCTTAAAAAAAGAGCTTGAAAACCATTTTGATGCTACACTGACTTGTAAAATGGAGAGTGGTGTCTGTCGGTCTGTATGTTCTTTGGTGATCTCCCAGAAGAAGTGCGTAAGGCTTTACGGCACTGAGCTGATTGGTGTAAAACAGTTTGTAGTATTTACGACAGTGGTGTATACGTGAATTGCTACACATAACTACTGTAGGGGTGCTTCATCGCAAGAAAAACGACAAAGTTGCTTAAAAAAGGTAATGTTTTCAATCAAATGCTGAGAAGCCGAACATTCTCTTGAGTTGTGTCTCAATTCTGACATTCTTCTTGATACACTGCAAACCCTTTTACGCATTATTTGAAATACGACTAGCATTACGGCTAGCATTGACGACAGTTGCTATGCCCTCACCCGAAGTGACAATCAGTGCTGTTCGCTAGCTAGCAGTGCGATGTTGTGTTAGCAAATCATTACAGATTGCTCAATCAACTCAAAAGAATATATGGGGGCTTCTTTTCAACAGCAGTATAGTGGTACCGCTTATACACCAGAGCAACCGCAATTATGTTACGTAGCCAAGATGGCTAACGTTGAGTGTGAGAAGTGTACAGCGCTTCATACTCAACTTTTTGACCGTTTTGAGTGCACCATTCCAGGTACTTTTAGCCATATTGCGCTTATGCACAAATGTAAGTACAATAAGTATGTGGATTAAAACATACTGGTATACACTTATGTAACTGATGTACTGGTGAATGTAAACTCAGATCAGTGTTTCCCCTAGGTTTACTGCTTTGGGGGGGTGCTGTCTGAGCAGGAGGGGGGGGGGGTGTTGTTGGTATATTTTAAATCCTCTGGAGCAGAGAGAGGAGCTGTGGATTATTGTTATTGATTAATGCATCAGTGTTTCTTAGGGTCATAAACACTAAACTCACAACTTAAAATGAAAGTGTTTAGTTTATTTAAGAAAAGAGCACATGTTCAATGTGAAAAGTGACAGTAGATAGATTAGTTGCAATTTGGTGCTATAAATATGTATTATTAAAAAAAAATTATAATAAAAAAAAACACCTTGAATTTCAGGGGGGGCGCGGGGCTCCGTTGGCGGGGCACCTGAAATAAGAACTAACCAATAAGGCTTGAGGTTCACAGGAAACTTTGACCTGCTTCTTTCCTGTTGTGTTGTATTTTGAAGGGACACCGCTGCAGTATGGAGAAGTTCTCAGTTTACATCTTTACACTGGAATGGTTTAGTAATGCATTCAAGACTATTACAAAACATGGCACGAGACAAAACCCACACACAACCAAAGAAACACTCGTAGCTTTTTTTATCCGTACGAGTGCTCCATCAGTCAGGTTTGAGGAGTATCACATTATTTAGGAAGCGCGTCAGCAGAGTCATTCTCTCTCTGTGTGTTAAGACCTGGTGCTATTGGCTTGTGTACTCAGGACTCTCGCTCAGGACTGATCCAGAGTCTATGAACTGCAGCCTGAATTTTGAAGGGTTGGTCCTCAGCCGGCTGTGACTGCAGGGTCTCTGAGATGCTCCTCCAGTCTGAGCCCCTCCTCAGAGGACAGCAACGCCTGAAAGAGACGGGAGAGAAGGATTAGGACAGCAATGACTCATGATCCAGACGTTACCTATTCAATTGGTAACTTGCCATCTGTAAAAGATCTAAAATCGTTTTACTTTTGATCTTTTACAAGTGATAAGGTATGGTAGTCGTCCTTTTAATTTAATCTTTAAATTATTAGAAATCTACTTCGAATGTAAATAATTACATTTTTCTCATTTTTTATTTTTGTGCATGCCCTTTTATCTAATAGTGTTTGACTTTGTCTCAATCTTCACTTTTGCTGTAACTATGTACATTTCCCCTCTGTGGGACGAATAAAGGTATTCTGATTAGTAAAAGACACATTTTGTCTTCCTTGTTCCAGCTGGTGAGCCCATGAATGTTTCTCATTTCTCTAACTCCCCTCCTCGACTCCCCTCCTCGACTCCTATCCTCGTGTCTTAGTCCCGCCCACAGGAGATGCGAGCGGAGGAGTCGAGGAGGGGAACCGAGGAGAGAGGAGTGGAAGCAGCAGGCGTTTAGAGAAATGAGAACTCCTCTCCTCTGAGCGGTCATTTTAAAGAGACGTCCATTAATGATGACAGGAGGCACAGCAGCCCTCTGTCTGATGGACAGATGTGTTCATGACCACTTATATATTTACTTTGAATTCATTGACAGTGCGGTATAATGAGACAATAACAGGCTACAGATGCAGACATATACACACACACATATATTTATATAAATATATACAATTTCAGAATCAAACAAGTATGAGAGGCTGAGAGCACTCTCATAATAACGTAACACAATCAGAGACTGGATATATCCCCCCCCCCCTCTTTGGTCGCTGAAATGGGGAATTTAAATTACGGGCCAAAAGTTTTATTTACAAGTATTAAAAGTAAGCATAGGACACAAAACCAACTGAGACCTGTCTGTCCGCCGCATCTACGCACTGTACCACACACACCTACACACTGTACCACACGCACCTACACACTGTACCACACGCACCTACACACTGTACAACACACACTGTACAACACGCACCTACACTGTAACACCACACTGTGAAAATCACGCAACCTACACACTGTACAACACGCCACGCTACACACTGTACAAACCACACACTGGAACACACGCACCTACACACTGTTCACCAGCACACGCACCTACACACTGTAACCAAAAAACGCACCTACACACTGTACAAACACGCAACCTACACACTGTACAACACACACTGGGTGACAACAACCGCACCTACAGCACTGTGACAACACGCACCTACACAACTGTTACCACACGCACCTACACACTAGTAAACAAACACGCGACCTACAACACTGTAACCACACGCACCTACACACCTGTACCAAAACCACACATGCACCTACACACTGTAATCAACACGCAACCTACACACTGTACAACACGAAACTACACAGCTGTACAACACGCACTACACTGTAACAACCACGCACCTACACACTGTACCACACACGCACCTACACAAACTGGTACCACACGCACCCTACACACTGGTACCACACGCACCTACACACTGTACCACACGCACCTACACACTGTACCACACGCACCTACACACTGTACCACACGCACCTACACACTGTACAACACGCACCTACACACTGTACCACACGCACCTGCACCTACACACTGTACAACACGCACCTACACACTGTACAACACGCACCTACACACTGTACCACACGCACCTACACACTGTACAACACGCACCTACACACTGTACAACACGCACCTACACACTGTACCACACGCACCTACACACTGTACCACACGCACCTACACACTGTACAACACGCACCTACACACTGTACAACACACTGTACCACACGCACCTACACACTGTACAACACGCACCTACACACTGTACAACACACTGTACCACACGCACCTACACACTGTACAACACGCACCTACACATTGTACAACACGCACCTACACACTGTACAACACACTGTACAACACGCACCTACACACTGTACCACACGCACCTACACACTGTACAACACACACTGTACCACACGCACCTACACACTGTACAACACGCACCTACACACTGTACCACACGCACCATACACACTGTACAACACACACTGTACCACACGCACCTACACACTGTACAACACGCAACCTACACACTGTAACAACACGCACCTACACACTGTACAACAGCGCACCTACACATGTACAACACACTGTACAACACGCACCTACACACTGTACCACACGCACCTACACACTGTACAACACACTGTACAACACGCACCTACACACTGTACCACACGCACCTACACACTGTACAACACACACTGTACCACACGCACCTACACACTGTACAACACGCACCTACACACTGTACCACACGCACCTACACACTGTACAACACACACTGTACCACACGCACCTACACACTGTACAACACGCACCTACACACTGTACAACACGCACCTACACACTGTACAACACACTGTACAACACGCACCTACACACTGTACCACACGCACCTACACACTGTACAACACGCACCTACACACTGTACAACACGCACCTACAGCTCCCAAAGCCTATAATATCAGGATACAGCCGTTGTGTATTTTATTATGTGAAGCACTAAATGGTCTTATTGACTCTTTGTTTGTAGATATCTACTAAACTAAAGCAAACAAATAAAGAGAGTAATGTAGGCCTGTTATACCGAGTGATATATATTGGATATATTGGATTACTGCAACGCTCTGTACGTGGGTATGGACCAGGCGTCAATTAGACGCCTGCAGCTAGTGCAGAACGCAGCTGCACGTCTTCTGACTGGCCATAAAAAGCGTGACCACATCACCCCAATTCTGGCCTCACTACACTGGCTTCCAGTTCGGTTCAGAATTGATTTTAAACTCCTTTTATTTGTTTTCAAAGCCCTAAATGGGCTGGCTCCGGCCTATATAGCTGAACTCCTCCAGCGCTACACCCCAGCCAGAGCCTTAAGGTCTGCTGACCAGCTGCTGCTGATAGTGCCCAAGACCAGGCTCAAAACCCGAGGGCACCGAGCCTTCGCAGCAGCTGGCCTAGGCTCTGGAACACTCTGCCCCTCCATGTGAGGTCGGCCCAGACCCTAGGGGTTTTTAAATCTACACTTAAGACTCACTTCTTCTCTCTGGCCTTCTAGTCTGAGCGGAGCACGACTCCTGACATTTCCCTGTGTGTGATTTTTATTTTTGTGCTGTTGTATTTGTTGTAAAGTGTTGCATGTTCAGCACTTTGGCTCGACCAAAAATCGTTTTAAAAATGTGCTATATAAATAAAACTTGATTTGATTTGATATATTTGACACACTGCTCTGCTTTCTGCACGGACCTCACAGCTGTTCTCACTGTAAACATCGCGTCGCCGTTCAAGCAGTTACTAAATAATATCCAGGGGATGCATGCAGAGCTGTGATTGGCTGAGATAAGTCCGGCCGTGCGTCACGACTCTTTTAAACATCACTGTTGCCGGAAATGCATCCGCGGAGGAGCCGTGGAGGACCCATCAGTGTATCCTCGGTTATAGCTCCTCCAGAGAGCCTCCTCGATGCTCGGTCCTCGAAGTGCATTTAGAGAAATGAGATGTCCTTCAACATGGCGCGCTGAAATCCATTTCCGGGTCACTACCGGAGGACCGAGGATTCGAGGAGGGGAAATTAGAAACCTTCCAGGTGTACTGCCTAAATGCTCTCTGTATGAGTCAGAGTTACCCATGATGCCCCATGTTACGGTTCAAAGAGAACTGCTTAAAGTTCAAGTTTGTTCAGAGATGATTCATCATCATTTTTGAATCAAGTAGTTTGAAATGTAGAGATAAAGGTGGTGGTTAAGAGAGGAGCGAGGATTGAAATATGCTTGGCTTTCTTAAAAATACAAAACAACATTATGCTCCAAGTCATGTTATCTATATATAGTAGATACACCATATAAGATGTGGCATATTATTTCATTTTGACTTCTAACTTCCTCAGCTAACTCTGAACCCTTTCCCCTAAGATGTCTCCCTCTTCCTCCACAAAGGCAGACACTTCAGTATTTAAGGGATTATCTCTCAGTATATCATCTTGACATGTTCTTAGCGAGCTCTCCCATACAGTGCTTAATGCCTACTAAGGCTAACACATGCATGAGTGCACACACCAACACACATCATGGACACATTTTGAGTGTGCAGACTGGGATAAACAAGAGCACAAAAACAAACATACTGTATATAAATGTAAACAAGCAGCAACTTCACTCACTAAACACCTTAAAGACGGTTTTCTTCTGTAACAAGGCAATGCCAACATTCACTTTCCTACAGTACTACAGGTTGCAGGAAACGCACCACTCGTAGTGTTCCATTTTGTTACAGTGTGATGCTACACTGTAATGATCAAATCTGTGTTGTAATCAGCAGGATGACAGCTAGTTATTGTTAGCTATTAGCACACGGTGAACAACACAGTGCTGCTTGAGTTAACAGCTATTATTACATGGCTTAGTTGAATACTACATTTTCATTGGTCAGTTTTGGACATTGGTCCGTCTGTTATTTCTGTATAGCAGAGCGTTGCTAAAGACGCTTCAATATCAGTCATATCAATCCGCAGAAAAAAGTGCGGTACATTTCATGACTTCAGCTGTGTCCAAAAAACATTGAAATTGCTAACAGACTTGGACAGTTAAGCTGCATTCTCATGATAGGCAATTCTCTCTTTCTTTAGCCACTGCAAGGCTCGGTGCCCAACCTTGCTGAAAGAAGCCGGTTAAGTTTTGTTTCTATTGTTAGTTTGCACCGCTACATACAACTGTCATCTGATTGGTTGCGTGTTGAAAAGTCAGAGGTAATTAAGTGAAAGTTGAAATAATTAGAACTTCAAGCGCAAAAACCTTGATTGGTACTGCCGTCATTTTAAGTTACATTTCATGGCGCTATCATCACAGTTCCTGAACTTGCTACTAGAAC